CATATTCAGTCCTGTGTTAAAGATGCATGTTTCTGGTGCAGGATACGCCACCTGCTTGTCTCCATGGAAATTTGCAGTGTTCCGCAGTATTTGAAATGAATCTAACTTGCATTTATTATATTACAGGTGTTTCTATTCGTGGGTTTCAGCTTCCAGTAATAAGTGAACAATTTATTATGTCAAAAAATATTTTCTTTTAGGTTTTAAATTGTTAATCACTATGCTAATGCCCATGGACTGCTAAAAATAACAGGAAAAACAAGCATTCTTTCTGTGAGCAGGCTTTTCTCTCTACAGATCTGACCTTGTGGCAGAGTTGGGACCAAGTCGTTGTTTTGCAAGTCTCAAGTAAGTCTCAGATCTTTGACCTCAAGTCCGAGTCAAGTCCCAAGTCAAATACACTCAAGTCCAAGTCAAGTCTCGAGTCACTAGCCCATAAGTCCAAGTCAAGTCCAAGTCGTCTGCTTGGAGCTTCAAGTCTTTTCAAGTCTTTAAACCAAAATATCAAATATAGCTTAGATTTTTGCAATTTATATGAATTTTAAACAAAATTGTACTTATGGTCATGGTATATTTATATATGACTATTAAAAGAGTATACAAGAGTTGTAGAAATTAATTTAGTTAATTTTTCTTTTTTAAATGGCTTGACATCTTAGTGTAATTCATTATGGTCAGAACAGAAAAAAATCAGATTTAAAAGTGCTTCTCAAGTCTCCTCAATTCACAGGCCTCAAGTCTAAGTCAAGTCCCAAGTCACTGACCTTCAAGTCCAAGTCGAGTCCCAACTCTTAGTCCATTTTATCAAGTCAAGTCTCAAGTCCTAAAAATAGTGACTCAAGTCTGACTCGAGTCCAAGTCATGAATCGCGAGTCACCACCTCCGCCTTATGGTGTCACCTGTTTATTTTCATGGAGATTTGTTCAAATCCTTTTACTGTGGAATGTTCAAGACATAGCAAAAACATCTCCATGGAGACAAGCAGACTCTCGACCTAAAAAGTTAGGCCTTTAATTTGACTGCTTAATAAATGCGAAATGTGTTCTAATAAGTAATAATCCATATATTAAAACGTACCAGCCAGTTTTCTTCAAGTGTTTCAGATGCCTCATTTCTAGCATGCCATTCTGAAATGATCAGTTGTTTCCCTGGAAAAGAAACACATTAAGATCTACTGTCTGTAATTTAAGCCAAACACAATCAAAACTGCTATTCTAGTCCTCCAAATCCAGTATTTGAGGTATGAATGATTGTGTAATTTTGAAGTGAAATATCAAACCTCAGCCACTGTGACCAGCAGAGGCAGTAAAAGGCAGGTGTGCACTACTGTTATTGCTTAATTTGTTCCTAATTAATGTATTATTCAAGCCTATAATTATAAAATTAAGAATGCAGACTTTGGTTTCTGCGTAAGTCAGTCAATCTTTGTCCATAGAGTAGTTAAATATATGTGAGCACTGGGCTGAAAACATGGATACTCTGGCATAGCGGTAGAATGTAATAAAGTAAAAGTAGTAAAAAATATATATAGGTATCTGTTCTTTACATAAGTAGATTTTAAAGTGGATAGTTTTTACTTTTATTTCACTACATTTGAAAGCATGTATCTGCACATTCTACTCCACTACATTTTTTTAACTGGACTGAAAAGTTAAAACATTTTTATTATAGTCTGAGTTTATTTAAAGCTTTATTTGACCTCAAAATCAGTGTGAAATACTTTTACTTTTTACTCTTTAAGTACATTTTTAAACGTGTATTTAAATACTTTTACTGTTGTATATTTTTATGTGATCCTTTTATTATTTATTTAGTATTTTGTTGCTACAGTATCTTTTATGTACGTAACAAAATCAAGTAATTCCTCCACCACTGCTCTGTGCTCTCTGGCATTGACTGTTAGCAGGAGTCTGAAAATATTTTAGCTGCAACGACATTAATAATCTTTGACTATATAAATATATAATTACGAGTAGAATTGACTTTTGGAGTGGTGGGCTGTTAAAAGTGTAAAATGCAGTGTTGTCTGAGTGAGGGCTTTTCTTCTTTTGTCTTGGTTATGTTAATTGCATGTGCATGTTTCATTGTGTTTTAATAAGCTGTCAGGGAGCGGTCTACTGTAACGCTGGAATGTATGTAAATGAGCATTATTCAGGGAAAATGCAGCCAGATGGAAATTACTTTTAAATTCTTTATGAAGGCTGAAGAAAATTCTATAGGAAGAACCCATTCAACCAAAATGTTGAGAGAAAAATATGTGCCACATTCTATACTCTGTTTTCTCTCATCTATACTATTCTCACTATTTCAAAAAGACCTTTAAAGATGCATTGTGTAACTTTTCTGGTGGAGGGTCCATCAAATGCTTTTCTCCATGGAGATGTTATTGCTTTTCCTGAAATGTTGTGTCACAGTATTGTATTAAAATCTTTCTATCATCAGGGAGACCAAACCAGAGAAGTTACAGGTCAGATCTGTCGAGAAGTAACCCCGCTCACAGTCAGAATTCCTGTTTTTCTAAGTATTTTGTGCAATAAAACCACTGTAATTGAATACATATGAGGTAAATCTGTTTAATGTCATACTGTGGAACATTACAGGCAGAGCAATGGCATCTCCATAGAAACAAGCACCAGAAAAGTTACACAATGCACCTTTAAGTACAAAAAAAGTCTTAGTTTCATCACGTTTTTTCATCTTAGTTTAGAAGTACATTAAGCTCTAATGTTTTCACAAACATTTTATGGCTTGAATATTGTACCTTATGAAATGAAATTGCATACAATCCCATTTGACTTTCATAGCTACTGAAAACACAGCGTCTTCAGTGCTAGTATGAATCAGTCTTCATATTCCAGCAGTATGATTTGCATAATTCCACTCTAGCACCATTACCACATAATCACAATTAGTCCTAACTATTAACTAATGAATAATAATCAGCCTTATCTTAGTTAATCCAATTTACTGCTATTGTGGTGTAAGTCATTACCTACCTGCTCAGAGCTGCTCCTCCAAACAGCAGAGAACAGCAGATTCTCTTTAGCTGTAAACACAAAATGTAATGTAAGAACAAATGAGACAACCCCAGCATCATCACACTCATCACCACACTCATCACCACCATCATCATCATCACAAATGCTGTGTAACACTGTATAAAAAAGTAAACCAACATTTTGAGATTTTAAAATGTTATTTAGTGAAGTTTATTTATCGATTTAGTAGAGTTTAAAACATCTATTTTAATTTATTGTTATGAAACTTTTAGTTTTAATGAAATGTGTTTCTAGGCAGTTTTAACTGGGGCAGGTTTACTTTTTTAAGTGGATGTTAGCATTGGTTTATTACATTAATGTTATGTTACCTGTTTAGAGTTTAGTCTTCCCTTCAGTCCACACATCCGAGTACTAACAAAAGAGAGATTGCTAAATGGACTGCTGTTTTGAGTGGGTGCATTACAATATACAGAGCAATATTAAGGCATTATTATGATACTGTGTGATACATGAGGACCTCTTACCTCTTTTAACTGCATTTCATCTGTTTAATGGTGTCTCTTCCCAGGGAGGGTTTATTATTGAAAACAGAAATTTTAAACACTTTTTAAATAACAGTTATGCGTTGCTTTTAGATATAAATTTTATGTAACTGGTTTAAAAGTTGCTAATTTTAATTTGAGGAGTCTTACACAGAATATTGTAGTTTATGTTATTTTTATTAAATGCTTTATGTACAAATACAGTTTACACACAGAACAAAGCACGCAATAGAAATGACACACTGTACAAGGCTAACTGCGCTCAACCCAACAAACAAAGTCTTTTTCACAATGGCATTTTCACATTTTAATAGACAGGCCTTAAATACAACTGGGTTTAAAATTGTCTTTAGTTACCTTTATTTAGTCAGGTTTAATTTTAGGGGGCAAACTATTTTAATTCATCTCTGTGGCATTAGAATATTTAGCCATTTTAAGAATTAAGGATTAATCATTCACAAACACTAATCTATCGTTTTGTCTCAACTGATCAAATGTTCCAGCATTAGATAAAGTTTCCATGTGTTGCCTTCAACAATGCCCATTTTGTTGAGTAAAAACTTAGAAAAACATAACAATTTTAGTTAAAGGTGCATTGTGTAACTTCTGGTGGAGGGTCCGCCACCTGCTTTTCTCCATGGAGATGTTTTTGCTTTTTCTAAAATGTTTCACAGTGTGGCATTAAACCTCTCTGTCTTAATGAACATCAAACCAGGCCAAGTTACTAGTCAGATCTGTGGAGTCAGAATGCCTTTTTTCTTGATACTTTTGAGCAATGAAACCACCAGTAATTGAGTAAATGTAAAGTAGATCTGTTTAATATCATAGTGTGGGACATTCCAGGCAATGCAATGACATACTGTATCCATAGAAACAAGCAGGTGACGGACAACCAACTGAAAAGTTACATTGTGTAACTTTTCTCGCCTGAATGGATATGTAATTTCTTTTCTTGGTATATTCCATAAAGCATTAAACTTCTATTTCCATGTAGACACAACCAGGCCAAGTTACAAGTCAGATCTGTGCAGAGGCAAACCTGCTCACAGTAATAATGCATGTTTTTCAAGCAATAAAAGCATGTGTAATTGAAAAGTTACATAGTGTACCTTTAATCAGTGAAGTGGGTGATGATTTCATTATATTGAGTCTTTGCTGGCAACACAAGGAAACATGGTACAGTCCAATCCTAATTGTTTTGATGGGCAACAATAAAGGCAACATTAAATTATAGAAATTGTGCTTTATGTTCTTTAGCTACCAAATATTACAATTGTAAAAAACCCATGGAAAATAAGTGGGCGAATTATAATTGTGGCAATGTTTATTTTTAAAAGTTTGTGTGCTTTCACGATTATTTCTCAGTCAGTATTTCTTTCATTTCTGCAAAAGGGTATTTTCAGACATTTTAGGACATGGAAAAAACATATTTGAGATGGAGGTCAGATGGGGAGCACCTTCAGTATCGACCGTACGGATGTTTTCTAAAGCCTCCTCGTGTGAGCCGTAAAACTGGAGCTTTGAGAACAGGGCGTGAGGTCGGCCACTCCTCCTCTGCAAAAGACGAGTTTTAAAATGCTTTTTCTTTACACAAAACACTCAGGTCATGAAGTCAAGCGGTCATAAAGGGCTGATGTGCAAATTTTTCTCACAATCCGTTTAACCACTGACAGAAAACCCAGGAAAGCACAAGAAGGAATGGCGTTTTTCACACAAAATTAACTTTAAAAGCACTTTCGTCTTCTTTGCAGCGGAGTCCGGACTGTCAGCATTTCATTCTCTTAAATCCAAATTACATGAAGACAGCTACCTCTGCTGCATGGCACATTGCTTCTCTTGAATCAGAAGTGTTCACAAAGCAGAAAATCTAATGGCTGGCCCGTGGTTTCGCTTTGGTTTGACCTCACCAGTCCAGTGCACACTTTATGGAGCTTAAAGTGAATGAAGCCTCAAACCTGCTGCGGTAACTGGCTTATGACTGGGTTCCATGACAACACAATGTTCCCTGTTGTTCCTTAAATTACACTAGGCACTATAAAATTTTATTATTTTTATCCCAAAGAAAAACAATAGGTTGTGTTCATGTTCTGATTTCAAGATGTCAAAATCTCAGGTGTTGGGCAGTGGCAGCGGTAGTGGACTATATTTTCTACGTGTGTTTATTTATTCACCTTAGTTCTTTTATTCTGATAGAGAAGAACTTGAACTTTGGGCAGTTTTAGTTTCATGTGGCTAATAATTACAAAGATATTAACCATATAATTCCTAACTATCCTCTACCTCAATTTTAAACTCTAGTCTAGGTTTAGATGTAATGACTTCAAATGAACAATTTAAAGTAGGTTTGAAATTTCTTGTACCAAATTTGCCATAACACATGCCATATTTATGTAGTGACTTGCAAACATCTTTTTATTTTATTAAGGGGTTACTGATTCTTTTGCTCAAATCATGTACATTTGATTATAATAATATCTTTTTAAAAGAGACATAAAATCATCTTTAAAACATGTAGATGAAAATCTGCAGCTTGCTAAGTTAAAATACTACTATGAAGATGTGGGGCATCTGCAGTTCCGCAGTTCTGAACAGGAAGTCAAGAGCTGTTTCTATTATTTAGCAGGTTTAGATCAATATTGTGATTTACACTGAACAAAATGTAAAACTGTGATGTGCATATGTTATAGTTTAAAGGTCCTATATTATACAAAATGGACTTTTATGAAAATGTTATGTAGTTACCTCATCAAAAACATACCTGGAGCTGTGTTTTGTTACATTCACACATGTTTGAGGAATACATCATTAGTGTGTTTACATCTCCAAAGCTCAAAATGCTCTGTTCCACTTTGTGATGTCATGAAGATGTAGTTTAACAGTTACCATTTGCCTCAATAGAAATCTGCAATTGAAGGACTGAAATTATTCAAATTATTGGAGGTGTATGGAACAAACACAAACAAACACAGTGGAGCATTTTCTGTACAAGGTGGAACAGAGTGTTTTCTGTTTGAGAAAAGAACACAACCAAAATATAGAGGGTTTATGTGTTAAAAATTTGTTAATGAAACAAAACAAAACTCCAGGTATGTTTATCACGAGGAAACAACATTAGAAAATAACATAATATGGACTGTTTAACAGTAAAAACCCTGAAAAAGCAAAGCATGTCTTCTACTACTACAACATGGAAAATGTGTATGGAAAGATTGCAGTACATAAGCCAGTATGCTAAACCCACATCCCTGACACTGGTTGCCTGTGCTCCTCCTCTGGCACAGTTTCAGAGCATTAGGCACAGAGCAGAGTGGTGCCCCCCTCCTTCCCTGGGCCAGCACTACCACGAGCCAAGTGCACACACATGGCTCTCCCTATGACTCTTTTAAACATCGCAAGCACATCAGCTGCCATTGTTTGTCAAGCACAACATTCAAAACAATCCAAGGCCCATTGTTCACATATTAATCTTTAAGTGTGTCCATGAATACTGCTAATTACCTTCAATAATACATGGCTCTGAGTGTTGTTTGATTAAATGTTATGCATGCTGTTCAGAGCTAGTTCTCCAGCCTCTTGTTTTTTTCCAGAATATTTCATCAAACCCCGGCACAAAGAAAGCAAATTAGAGGCAGTACATACCATAGTTGTTGTAGGCGTCTTCACTGTTTGCGTGTGAATATTCGTAATAATCTGAAATGCTAAACAAACAAAGAATAGAAGCATAAAGTAAGAAAAAGAAAAGTATGGACTCAGACTAGTGTATTATTATTATTATTATTAGGACAAAGCTGATATAGACATATTCACTTGTTGAAGTGGCTTTTGTATAATAAAAGTGAATCAAGTTAGTGAATTAAAGTTCCTATATTATACTAAATTGATTTGTGAACTTTAAGTTATGTTACAGTGTTGTTAGCACACCAAAAACATACATTTAAGTGTGTTTTGTTACATTCACAAATTTGAGTAATGCTTTATTATTAGTCTGTCTACATCTGCAAAGCTCAAAATGCTCTGCACCACCTTGTGATTTCATGTAGTGGTAGTTTTCAAGTTATCAACAGCTACATTTTACCTTTGCTTCAGTAGAAATGGGCAATTCCAGGGCTGAGTGTTTTCTAACCTAAATAGCAGGATTTGTGTATTATGTGTGAGTGAAAGAAAATACAACTCTGGGTGAGATGAGAAAACACCATTATAGCACAGACCAGAAAGTATCATAATATGGACCCTAGTGTAGTTTCAACTTTAATATTTTTTGGTTCTGGCTCATGGATACTCTCAAACAAATCAACATTTTTTGCTCCCTTGTATTAATATATGTGTACCATTTTGTCATAACTATACCTTAATTATGGTATTAATGAAGTAGTTGCTAAGCTTGAATCATTATTAATAAACTATTTGTTAATTATGATTTATGAATTAAGTGTTTGCGCATGCTTTGTAAGTATTAACAATACGAATATGAAAAAAAAATATTTGAAGAAGAAATCGTCTTTGTGATAAACCCATATATATAATGAAACAAAAAACAACAAGTTAAAAAAAAAGAACAACATTATAACATAGCCCAGAAAGTATCATAATATGGACCCTAGTGTAGTTTCAAGTTTCATATTTTTTGGTTCTGACTAATGGATACTCTCAAACAAATCAACATTTTTTGCTCTGTAGATTTAAAATATGTGTATTTAAATGTATGGTACCATTTTGTAATAACTATACCTTAATTATGGTAAGCAGTTATGAAGCTTGAATCATTATTTATAAACTATTTGTTCATTATGAAGTGTTTGTTGATGCTTTTTATGGTTAGGTAAGTGTTAACAATACAAATATGAAAAAAATAATGTGAAAAAGAAATCACCCATTTATATAATGAAACTAAATACAACTCCAGGTATGTTTGTGATGAGGAAACAACAGCATAGGCCAGAAAATATCGTAATACGGGCCCTTTAATAGAGTAGTTTCGAGTTTCATATTTTTGTTCTTTCTTCTGACTAATGGATACTCTCAAACAAATAAACATTTTAGTTAAGCGCTAACAATACGAATATGAAAAAGAAATTGAAATTATAAACCCATGTATGGCCTAACCGTACAATCACCTTTAGTTTGATTATGCTCACCTCTTGGACTGATTGCTGTAGTTGTCCTCATAGCCTTCATAACTGTCTTCATCATACTCTCCTCCATATCCGTCATCAAAGCCCTGGGAGAACAGATGAGACACTCAGACTTTTCCCATAAACATTAAACAGGAATATTACACGAGTCAATATCGAGATGCACGGGCTGGAGTCAATCACGCTGAGATCGTAATGAGACCAACAACTTTGTCCAACACACCATATTGATTGGGGTTTGCAGAGGGAAGGTGTTTCATAACAGCCTAATGGACACCTACTGAGCCAGCAGCTGCATAATGGAGCTCGATGACTGATGACTGCCGCGCACACACATCCATAAGAAAGTGCGCAAAATCAGGGCTATGTTGAGAATTGACTGGATGGGTAGCATTTGTATTATTTCTGTTTGTCACAACACTACAGACCAAACGCCCACTTATTTTCCATACATTTGTCTAACTGTATTCTCAGCATCCTCTTCTCCTACACTAGCTGACCTCATGACATGCTTCGCTGCGTCTTTGAGCTTTATGTATGCGTAGTGCCTGGCAGTGGTGGAAGAAGTACTCAATTGTGTTCCTTATGTAAAAGTACAGATACCAGAGCAAGAAAATACTGAAGCAAAAGTAAAAGTATCACATGACAAAATCTACTTAAGTAAAAGTACCTGTTTAAAAATGAATTTAAGAGTATTTCACACAGATTTTCAGATCTAATAAAGCTTCAAATTATTTTTATCAAGATTTTTTTCTAACTGTTTTTATCATTTGTATATTTTTGTTACCCTCTTAGCCTTTTCATCAGGTCTCAAACTCTAATAATAATAATAATACTTGTTACCTTCCATCACTGGTGCCTGGCAACTCAAACCTGACGTCTCTTCTTCTAACTAACTAAACCAAATTCAGTTTTGATGAACATATAACACCTCTGTAGCCAGTAAAGGGGAAGAACTTGCCTTCTGCTGCTGCACTGAGGAGTGGGGCAGTTATAAATCTCAACACTAGCTTCCTTACAACTATAGTGCCGAAAGTCTTAAGTTGTTTAGTCAAATAAGCGGTCAATACCATTTTACCTCTAAGCCCTAACAAAGACAATGTGTACTCTGGTAAAGGACTTTTAACCATTTTTGTACACTTGGATTTTTTCAGCTTCATTACCACTCACATTTGTACGTTAGTATTAAGGTGTGTCTCTGTTCCTCCAGGGCAAGTGACCTCATCCTTGAAGATCACCAGTGTCTTATATCTTTCTTTCTGTCTCACTACAAACCCATTGAAACACTCACCTCATCTCCTGTTTTTAAATGGTCAATAGTTAACCACTTTTTTATTAGTTAACTATTATTGTATTGATTATAAGGATTTAAACAGACATCAGCACAAAGGAGGAGTTTTTGGAGTGATCTTATAAGAGTAGTTTGGGTCAGAGGATGAGTCAGATCATAGAGATATTAAATACTTTTACAAGCTTGCATCAAGTCAAACCAAGATTTCTTTAGTCAGCCCCTACTTGCAACATGTAAAAAAATAAATAATTTATCTTCTACTTTTGATCTCACATTCTCCTTGCTGTGGGGTCAGCCACTGTGCCCTCCTGAGTGTATGTTCAACTCAAAGTTTTGCTTACAAATGCAGAAACTTAGAAACTACTCAGCTGTTACTTAACTGGCCCAATTTAAACTACATTTGTAAAAATATAATAACTTTGTTAGAGGAGAAATCTGACTCAAGACTCTTGCTAATAAGCTTCAGGTTAAAAATACATGAACTCTTTAATTAGTGATGGTGCATGCGGAAATGTACTTGTGCCTCTCCTTTGCAAAGGCAGATACAGTGAGTGTAGTGTCTGATTTCTGTGCTAAATACCTCACTGCTTTTGGGCTAATAGTTCTCAGTAGACCAAAGTTCATGCCAAAAGCTTAACCTGATCAGCATAAGAACCAACTTAACGCTGCTGTAATTGTTGAAGATTTAGTGAAGGATGTTTTTTGCATGGCATCTAATCTGATCTAATCCTTTCCTGTTTTACAATTACAAGTCTGGTTTCTCTACGATTATTCTGTTAATCAGCTCGTTGTAGCCTTCAAATACATTTTAAATCAACAGATGCAAAATCAGAGCTTCACTAAAGACGATTTATTCAAGGCGTCATCTCCATTGCACGTTTCGCCTGATGCTGCCTGTAACAAAAGAGGAATATCTCTGTGCATCCGGCCCCACTGCTACTGCCTAATGCAATGTGACACAAAAGCAGACACATCAGTGACGAGGACATGGAGTGCAGCAAACCACATGAAATTACATTTAGGCCATTTTCACACAGGCTCCTGTCTCAGACTTTTCTCTTTTCTAATCCACGGATTTGACTGAATGAAAGTTAAGGATTATTGGCAGGGATTAAGATGTCCTGGGGATCGCCTATTCTTTTTTTTATGAATTGAGACACTGTCACCAAGCTGTGTAATGGTGGTTTGTGAATAATTTTCTACAACCTGATAAGTGTATTAGCCAGAGATTAATCCTTAACTTTTTATATTAATATATAAGTGCCTTGAGGACTGAGGATGAAATTATTAATATTTAAATAATGTCTGTGCGGAGCTGCAGGTACACCCCCAAACTGTTGAGACACATTGTTACATTTTATCCTTTTGAATATGATATATTTGTCAAGAAACAATGTATTAAAATGTGTAATCACTACTCCCCTTGCTCCCTGAGCTAAATCACTCCTGCTTCAGAGCACAATTGCAACAACATCAGTGTGTATACCGCTAATGAAACTATTGCACATTGCATCAGGTTTGTGAAGTTGTAGGGTATTCTTTAGTTTCTTGCTTTTGTACTATGAAAAATGTTACATAGGGTTATGGGCTGAGTATTGTACAATGGGCATGGTTTTGTACAGCTAACCACAAGGAGGTACAAATACTGCCTAGGAGAGACTGCAAGATTATTCAAACATGCACAGATGACATATTAGACTATTTAGAGATCTATCTAGAAATTTTGCACAATACTCCCTCTTTAAGATTTATGGGTTGACAAAACTCAGGTTGAGTGTTGCAATGTTACAGATTAAAGAACAGAATGGTACAAACACTAGTTCAGATGACAGAATGGCACTTAGAAAAGTTAATATGTAAATTATCAATATGACTTTTACACTGAATAGGTGGAAGAGGCCAATTCTCATCCCCAAAGAAAATAGTTTCTATTTCCCAGTAGGTCTCTACAGTCCATCAGTTTGCTACACACATTTTGTCCAAAAGCTCATATCCTGCAGGGAATTAAAAACCAATCTGAGAAATGACGATTCATTTGTCTCAGCTTTGCTTTTCCTTAGACACAAAAAACAAAACAAAAAACTAAATCATTGAACATTTTTAAGGCCTGAAAGCAAAAACTTGTTACAAAAAAAATCTCCACTTTAAAAACAAGCAAATCCGCCCTACAGCTGATCCCAAAGAGCTGATCTATTTTCAAATATATTTAATCATAAATCTTGCAAATCCTGCATCTGCTCATTAAACTAACATGAGTTTGGAGTAGTTTGACAATCCCCCCAAAAAGTAAAAACAATTAACAGCTCCCTCTCTGACGCAGACACAGAGAATAAATCACATGCTAACACAAAGGTTGGAGGGCTGTAGTTGGCAGTAATTAGGACAGCGTGGAGCTAAAGGCCCTTAGCCCAGTGCTTCATTATCAATTGACAAACCTGTAGGCCTCCTGACAGTGACCGATGCCGAAAGCCTGACCACACTGCAACACCAAATGAGATTCAGAGTCTATTGTTTCCTCCCAATGACTTCTGCTTCTGCGTTTCTCTCCTCACCTGGGCAGATCTTTTGTACGTCGAAATGAGAGCACTGTATTTACACTTAACTTGAGAAGTGTTGATTAGTTTCAGTTATAATGACATCAGGGACAATGCTGTTTTCAATAGTTGAGTACATTGTAAAGGGGGGATGTAATTGTAATTGTTCTCATTCATTATTCTCTTTCCATGGGGTTTATGTTATGTCTATGGCTTCAGGCTCTGACAATGAACTACCCTTTGTATAGACACCTGTATTGTATTAGCGAATAAGGTATTTATAGACTGTACAAAATGTTTACTCAAGGATTTTCATTGTAGTCAAACGTAAACAGCAATTTTCTCTAGCTTAACATTAAATATACTGTACTGTAATTTGGGCAAAAACATAGAAAACACAGAAATTAAACAGTTAAATGTTCAAATATATGTATACTTATATTATCACCATTATAGGTACAATGTATGAAAAATACCTTAAAGGTCATATATTATGCATTATATTATATATTAGATTTAAACCATGTTAAAATGTTGTTACCTCCTCAAAAACATACCTGGAGTTGTGTTTTGTTTCATTCACATGTGCTTGAGTAATCCTGCATGATTAGTTTGACTACCTCTCCAAAGCCAAAAATGCTGTGTTTCACCTTCTGATGTCAAGTTAACAGCTACATTTGACCTTTTGCTGAGCAAAGATAAGCAATTTCAGGAATGAAATCATCTAAATTATTCTAGTGAAGGTGTATGGAGTTTAAAAACACAGTGGAGCACTTCATGTATTACAACAGGACATCACAAGGTTGAACAGAGTGTTTTCTGTTAGAGAGAAGAACTCTATATCCCTAAATATGCAGCATTAGTGTGTTAAACATGTGAAGGAAACAAAACAAACTCTGGTTTAGTTTTAGATGAGTAAACAACATTATAACATCAGAAAATTGTGTGTAATATGGGCCCTTTAAGAAATGATTACTGCAACCTTTCCCCAACTGGCTACTGTGGCAGTAAAAGCACACCATTGATGTTTTGGATTCAAAGGAGTTTTGAAGGTTAATTCATTGATTTCAAGTCTGGCAGCTTTATATTTATGACCTAAGTCTGCTCCCTCACTGAAAAGGCACAGTTCAATGAAGCAATATTTGTCACCACATAGGTAGGTGCACACTGTTCTTTATCAGTCTGTACTCGCATGTTAGAAACATGTATATAGCAAATACTTAAAAGGACCAAGGTCTATTTGTGGTCTCTTTGCGTAAAA